CATGGTTAGGGCCTTGGGAGGGTACCCAAGTGATTGTTTTCCCAAAGTCCTCTCTCACCTACTGCAGGACAGGTGGACTCTGTAGGGACAGGTACCACAAACCGTATGTGATCTGCCCATTTACCTTCTTCTAGTTAGTCCAAATTCCTTTTGCCAACCCTGCTTTCTTGTCCCCATTCCAATCTAGGCCTAAGCATGTGACAGTGGGGGAAAGAGGGGACTAGCAGTTTTGTGTGGTTGTCTCGGTTGGGCTTTCAAGTAAGAGACCAAAGACCTTCGCCTACAATACAGCAGGCCTTCCAGCTTGGTCTCCAAAAGGTGGCTCCAGGCTTCTTCCAGCCCTAGGGAACCATGTTTTGAATGAAAGTGCTTCATACTCTGGTTAATATTGGCATTTATGTGTTTTTCAGAATTAAACAGTAGTATTTTGGAGAGTATACCAAGTCCCACGAATTCCTTGAAGAGGGTTTGGTGGGAGGCAGTGGGCTCTACCTCTTCTTCCTGGGAATAGCACACTAATTTAGGTGGACTGCATGGGGAAAGTTCAGAGGCTAGGGCCAGCCTTTCCCTCATTCCCCATGATTCCAAGAGGCCCCAGCATGTTACTGACAACGAGGCCAAGAGAATTCGAATCAACCGAAGTGAAACGTTCTTCAGAAAATCCTAGCAACCTGGCAACTGGATTAAAGATTCCCCAAGAGGGCGATGGGTAATTTACCTGTAGGGGAAAGTGGGCTTTTTCGCCCCAGAACATTCTTCCTGTGGAATCTGCTTTGGGAATTCTGTCTAACCTGGCTACAATCCAAGCTGTGTTTGGCTCTACTCTCGAATTCACTTATTTCCTCAGACTATCATCCTGATCCTTAATAGGCCCCATCACAGCACATCGCCACCTCCTCCCCGTCTTTCCCCTTGCCAAATTAGCTCAGAGATCCCTTCCCCAGCCTAGCAATCTCTATTTTCCTTTCGGGAAAAACCACATTACCCCTCCGGGCTCCTCTTCCCTGGGAGAAGTATGGGGGAGGAGGCATATAGCTTCCTCTCCCTCCCGCCCCCCAAGCAGAATTTAGGCCCGTGTCTTTGTATTCGGTATATCGCAATGGGGTCCCGGAACAACAGGATCTATTCTGGTTCTAAATAGCTACCGTAACTTGAAGGATGTTGTTATTTAAACATCTCTAAGGAGGAAGAGGTGGGTGGATGGGCTGGCTAGGCCGTGTACCCTTAGTACTAAAGTTTTCTGAGACTTCTCTGTCTCCGAAAGGAAAAGCGATTTCTCCATAGAGGCTGCCTTCCGAGTCACAGTACTAATCTCACAATCTGCACCCAAGTCCAAAAATGAGCGCCCTTTCCTGGGACTTCCAGGGTCCTAAGTTCCCGCCTCTCCCCTAGCTGAAGGTCGGTTGCAATAGTCCCAATCCTTTGAAATCATTAATCAGGAACCTGCAACCAGGCTTCCCAGATCCGGAATCCAGCTGATGCAGATGAGTCGGCGCAGCCGGGGGAATCCAGCTGGGATTCCTTCCCCTAGACTCCAGATGCCACACCTTCCACTCCCGCTTTGTAACGCACCTCAAGCACTTTTTCCTTCGCCCGCTCCGTGTGCCTATTAGCAACCCCCCGCCCCTTCCACGTCCCCATTGGCTCGTTTTGTTCAACCAGCTAGAGCACTCCCCCACCCCCTTTCTCCGCCGGTTCCTAATTGGGCCTGAGCCGCCCCTCCCCCGGGATAAGGGGCTGTGACAGGTTCTGGAACGCTCAGACGCTGTGCGGACCTGTCATTGGTCCCCCGCGCTTTACTTCGGCACTTCGGAGTTCGCAGCGGCCCCTTCCTAGCTACCTATTCCCTCCTCCCGGGCCAGGGATTCCGCGCTGTGTTTCATCCCGGATCCCCGCCTCCTAGGGCAGGGGGGTGGGAAGGGGTGATTGGTGAACGGGCCCTATCTGCAAGCCCTGAGCTGTCCCGGAGCAACATGAGCGCTGACGGCGACTCCGGGAGCCCCCTGCCCCGGCTCTGTAATCTGGAGAAGGGGCCGAATGGCTACGGCTTCCACCTCCACGGCGAGAAGGGCAAAGTGGGACAGTTTATCCGGCTTGTGGAGCCAGGCTCGCCGGCCGAAAAAGCGGGACTGCTGGCAGGTGACCGGCTGGTGGAGGTAAACGGGGAGAACGTGGAGCAGGAGAGTCACCAGCAGGTGGTGAGCCGCATCCGAGCCGCGCTCAACTCGGTGCGCCTGCTGGTGGTCGACCCGGAGGCGGACGAGCGCCTGCAGAAGCTAGGCGTCCAGGTGCGGGAAGAGCTGCTGCGCGGCCAGCGCGGGGAGCATCCAGCCGAGCCTGCCCCGCAGAGGGCCGCGGAGGAGCAGGCGGATGGAGGCGAGGAGCAGAAGCCGGGAGCGGCCGGGGAGCCGCGGGACGAGAAGAGCCAACCGGAACAGGTAACTAACCACTACTTGGTCTGGGATTCGAAGAGGGGAGGGGGAAAGGAGTTTCAGGGAGGCACCTAGGTGGGTGTCCTTGGAATAAAGGCGCGCGGCGTAGCCCCGAACTCGCCGCTGTTTCCTTCTGAAGCCAAAGCCCGCGATATGGAGGCTGTCCTGTTGCTAGCCCAGCCGACGCGTGTCTCTCATACAGATTGTCCCTTCCTGTCTCCCCTCGCCCCCACCCTGGACCCGTCCCTGCCACGCTGAACCAGACTGGCTGCCGCCTCTTTCTCGGGAGTTGTTAGGAAGGTTGATGAGATCCACTCCTTTTCACGCATATAACTATATCCGCTGCTCCGCTCCCCATCTGTTCTCTAAGAGGCACCCACACCCCCGTTGCAACCAAAAGAGTGGAGAGGTGGAACCCTGCTTTCTCCAGGGAGCAAGCGCCATCACTCCCCCTTTCGCGCTCCCAGTGTGTGTGGAGGGAGTTAGCCCCAAACCTCTTAGAGAGGCAGCCTCCTCTCTACGGTCACAGGTGGGTGGGAACTGGAGCTCAGGGATGCCTGGAGAGTCCAGCAACATTCTCTCCTTCCCTCCTCCCTTCCCCCCGGCGCATGGAAGCCACAGCTGTGTGTGTGTGTGTGACAGACAGACCTGGCGGGGTGGAAGAGGGAAAGTGGGAAAGCTTTTTTTTTTTAATCTTAAGCAGGGAGAGCATAATTTTTAGGTATCATTAACCTTAGTCAGGTTGGACTTCATCCCTCCTGGAGTGTGATGTGACTTCTAAGAAAGAAGGAACAAACCCCACTGCCTTGGGGCAGGAGGGGGTTGGAACGGGGCAGAGGCCAAAGATGGGGGTGGGGAGGAGGAGAAAAGAAGTGAGTCTCAGGAGTGGTGATAACCGCCACCCAAGAGGATTTATGAGTCTCAGGAATGTGAGAAGTAAGCATAGCCTTTATCTGGGAAGATGAGGGAAAAGAGCCTCGGAGGGGACCCGGTGAAGGGAGAGTGGAGGATTTCCAGGGCAAACAAGCTGGGATAATTTGCTGCTTTTTCCATGTTTGGTGTTTCCCCAAATGATCCCAACTTGGATCAGCTGGTGGAGGATGGGGGTAGGAGAAATATAGAGTTGTTGTTCTGAGTTGTCTGTCCCCAGAGATTACAGGCGATTTTAAAGAGTCAGGAAGGGGTGGGTCCCTGGCCTTGCTGAATTCCAGGGGCTCGATGCCGGTGCTCAGCCTAGGAGGAACAGAATTTGGGTCCTCAGCGCTTGGTCTCCCAGAAAATTGGATTGTTAACTTGCAACCAGATGGCTTCCTGCTGGCTAATGTAGACAGCGTGTTGGCACTAGAGACAGGGCAGAGCTCAGAGTGGAGGAAGGGCACTGTGCAGGGGAGATTGGGGGCAGGGTGTACAGGGCCAGCAGGTTAGGTCACCAGGGAACCTTTTCCTGGATTTAGCTGGGTGCTGGGAACGCCATCCTCTACCTCCACTGGCTCTTACTTCCTGTCTGTGCCAGGTTGGCTCTGATGAAGGCACATGCTCAGGGAAGGGAGGGCAGGAGCTTCCTGGCAGGAGGGAGACTCAAGTTAGTGCCCTGAGGTGAGTCAGGGAACAAGTAACCTCTAGTCTCCACCTAGAGTTCACTGTCTTGAAATTTATGCTGAGGACATCAGTCATTCTCCATTATAAATTAAATGAACTTTAGTCTCTATCTCCCTTTCCCCCACCTCCCCATTCTGCAGATTTTTCTCCTGAGAGCTTGAAGGGAGAAAGTTGGGGATCTAGAAGCAGCTCCCTCCTTGGCAAAGGAAGTCCTCAAGCACAAGTGGCTCCCCAAGTCATGCCCTCTCCCATCATCCCAGAGAGAGAGAGAGAGAGAGTTTGAACTTCCTTCTCTGGGTTAAGCCTCCCATAGCTTCTGTCTAGGGAAATGTGTTTAACTAGAGCTCCTCAGGGGGCAAAGGTTTCCACAGGCCTAGGGGAGAGCCTGCAGTGGCTTGTACTTTTCCAGGGGAAGGGAACTACAGCTGCCCAAGCCGGGTAACCTGTCCTCAGGGGGATTCAGCACATCTGTGTTATGCTCAGTTGGCCTCTTTATTGAACTACTTATACTTAGCACTTGGATCTTGGTGTAGTGGGGTGAAATATAGGCAGTCTCCACACATAAGAAGCTGATAACCTAATTCATTTCCACCTGGTGCTAGCAATACAGAGAGTGAAAAAACTCAAGAGTTTTTGTCCTCGAGCAGTTTTAAGTTCTAGTGTTTCCACCTATTTAAGTGGCCAAGCCAGATCATCTGACTGCAAATACAGTATATAAGCTCTTTAAGGGCAGGGAATGTTTGGGGGTTTTATTCATACATCAGTAGGCCCAGAGTCAGGAAGACTTCCTCCTCATTTCAAATCTGCCCTCAGACTTTACTAGCTGTGAGACCCTGGGCAAGTCACTTAACCCTGTTTGCCTCAGTTTCCTTCATCTGTAAAATGAGCTGGGGAAGGAAATGGCAAACAATTCCAGTATGTTGGCTAAAAAAACAAAAAAAACAAAAAACACAAATGGGGTCAGGAAGAGTCAGACATGACTGAATCAACTGAACAAGAATAAAATACCTTAATAAATATTTGTTGAAATTGAAGTGACTCTGGGTGCCCGATGTCTTGTGAGTGGTGTAAGTAATAATTAATACTGCCCTCAAGAGGGTCCCTAAAAGAGAGGAGTGCTGCCTTGGTAAGAAGGTCCAACTCTTCCTGAGGGGGAAGAATAGAGATACTCTCACTGCCAGTCCCACCAATGATCATCACTCACATTTTTATAGCATTTCACAAAGAGATTTGCATATTTTCATCTCAATTGATCCTTGGGTCCAAGTCCCCATGGCTCCAAGTCCATTGCTCTTTCTATTGAGCTGCTGGCCTCTATCTAGAGAATACAATATTATACTCACTTTACAGATGAGAAAATTAAGTATCGGGAAGGTGCCTCTAGGTCATACGAATATTACTACCTCCACTATACAGAAAAGGGAAACTGAGTCACAAAAGTACCTCTAAGCAATATAAATATATCCCCATTTTATCAGTGGGTCTCAGGTTAAGTACCTTGCCTGAAACACTTGGCTAGTAAGTTGCAATTCTGAGCCAGGATTCAACCCAAGTCTACTGGCTCAAAAATGTGTTCTTTTCCCTGACCCTTTCTGTTGCACTGGTCCCCACTCCAGTATCTACAGTAGTATGGGTTTTAGACAGGCCATATGGATGTTTTTTGGGTCTTTATTCAAAGATGCACTCCAGCAGTTCTATTCCTGATGTATGGGGTGGGGAGAAGATGGATATTGGTAACCAGGTGGTAGGTAGCCTAGGCACAGATTGATTATATCCAGTGGGGTGTTGTGGTTGTTTTGTTTTATTTTTTCCCCAAGGAAAAGAGATTCATGTTGATCTCAGTTGGGTCGTTGAAAAGATTAAAATAGAAATCAGGTTTGAGTTGCTGTGACCAAGGCCTTCTCTTGAGTCAGAGGTTCTGGTTTGGTTTTTTTTTTTTTTTTTTTTTGGCCAGAACAATCTATCCTCCGGTACTTGGCTGTTTCTAACAGTCTGTGAATTTTCCAATGGATTGGTAGATCTGTAGAGAACCCAGTGTCCTTTAAGTCCCTTGGAGATAAGGTGAACATTCCTTATCTGAAAGCTTGGTATGTGGAGGTAAAGGGAGGGTAGAGAGGGCTCGGGCTTCCTCCTTCACCCGGCCCCTTCCCTCAAGGGTAGAGGTGAGTGTGCCCTTTCTTTGCATGCTGTGAGGGGTATGCTAAGAAAATTTGTTGTTCAAATTCAACAGACCTTTACTAGGTCACAATTATGTAAGGGAGCATGAAGATTATATATGACATAGGTCTGTTGCAGGCTGGGCATCAGACACGGGCCCTGCCCTCATTGAGCTCATAATCTAGGTAGGGGGGTTGTGATGGGGACACAAAACTCTGTAACTGATACAAAATGGTAGCGTTTAACACACAAGAGAAAGAAAAACCCAAGCTCTTGTCAGACCTACAAGCTTGTTGCAGAAAACTAACCAGAGTATTGATTTAAATAACAAGTTCTCCTGAAATCCTCCTTGTTTTCCCCAGTTTGGGGACTTATGATGGGGGTAGTTTCATCTGGAAGAACTTTTTTCCGTGAAACAGATTTTTCTAGCTATCCTTCACTTTAGGTCCATTCCAGGAAAAACAAAACTGTAAAAAAAAATTTAAGTGATTTGAACTAAATCTATTAACACTGGATTTGGAGTGTAAAAGACTTGGATTTGAATCCCCACTCTACTATGGCCAACCTAGGTGGTGGAATGAATAGAGAGCTGGACTTGGGAGTTAGAAAGACCTGTGTTAGAGTCCTGCCTCATACACTTAACAACTGTGTGACCTTGGGCAAGTCACTCTTCACTTTCCACCTCAGTTTCTACATATGTTAAAATGAGGATTAATAATAGGACCTATCTTAACAGGGTTATTAAGGATCAAGGAAATAATATATGTAACGTGCTTTGCAAAAAGCACCATTAAATGTGAGCTTTTTTTTTTTTTTGCACCACATCTGTGTTCTTGAAGAAGTTCTTAGTATATCTGTCACTTTATTACTATCTGTCAAAGGTTGCTTAACCTTTCTAGGTTTCAGTTTTCCCCTTGAGGGAGATCTTTAAGATCTGAATTTGTGAGTAGATGAAATCCAGTTTGATGGAATCTTCTTTGGTAGCTAGTTATCTCACTTGTAGTATGCAATAGCTCAGATTCTCTGCTAAGACGTTCTCAACAGATACTCCCTCAGATGTACAGAAAACAAAGCCAGGGGAGGCCTGAGCCTAGATGGGGGGAGGTGGGACGTAGGGGTATGCCTCTAATACATTCCTTTGCATTTTACATGATGGGATGGACCCACTTGGGTGCCTGCAGACAGATTTTTCCCCTTGCTTTTTCCCTGGGAGGAGCTCTAGCTGACCCTTTTGGGGGCCTATGGTACTG